GCCTCCCAGAGTGCTAGGATTACAGGCATGAGCCAACGCGCCTGGCCTGAAACTTACTCATTTCTTTAGCTAGTAGAACATTTGAAGAAAATTTACCATTCATTTTTGGTGATTATGTTAGCCTAGGTGTTTGTGATTGTCTTTCTCTCTCTCTTTACTATGCCTCATTTCTGTTTTTACTCTTATTCTACATACGTTTTATCTTAGACTACCTCAAGTCCTGTTTTGGAAGTATACAGCCTGTAAGTAAGTACTTACCTTTGTTTAATAAGGAGTTACCAGGTAATGTAATATTTTGACATAATTAACCTACTATCTTTTTAAGTACAAAGTTAGAATTTTGATCTTAATAGTAAGTTGTACCCAACATAGCAAGTGAGATTGTACAACGTATACGAGTCCAAAATTATCGTGGGCTAAATGAGCCGAAATTAGCCTGAGGCTTCATGTCTTACAAGCAGCTCCAGAATTGCCCATCAGGAGACGTTCTCTGAGCCATAACAGGACGTCTAGGTGTGCTTTTAAGTGCTTAGTGGCTGCCTAGAAGTGTTTCAGAATGCTTTGGCCAATGTGAAAATGGTCCCACTTACAGGCTTTTGAGTTGTGAGAGTCTTTCTGGATAAGGGTAACAAACAGCCTCAATTTTTTCTCCTCTGCAAGCTCTGCTTTTTCAAAGCAACCCACAGTAGTCTCACCTCCTGCTCAGGAAAGATTTATCAGCAGAAATCTTCCGGTTGGTCTGTTCTTACAAAAGATGTCATTACTTTTGCAAAATACTCTGTGCCACCTTTGGTATAAATATTTAAAGCCAAACCATTTTCAGATGAGATATGATGGCCATGATTTTCGTGCTTTGTTCCATTTCTTATTAATTTGTAAAAATGCAGTTGTCTTTGTCCTGTTTCTTGATGCCAATGGAATCAGTCAGATTAACTCTGCACGCGTCCAGATTGTTAGAACTTGATGTAACTAGATTTAGCTGCACATGGTAGTGAACGTGCCAGCCCTTCGTAGACATCCTCTTAAGGAGGCGATCAGGATGTATCACTGGGCAGGTCCTCTGGGCTCCTCCATGGGGCTCCCAGAGAGAAGCGAAGTTCCCAAGTCCTTGCCTCTCAGCATGCGCATTGCCTCACTCACTAAAAGAGACACACTGGTTGCTTTGCTCTAAAACATTTCTTTCTGTGTCTGTGGCTTCAAGAGCCTCACTCCAATGGAAAGAACAAGTTAGTCTGTTTACTAGAGGCAGTCATTAGACGTAAAATTAACCAACACAGATAGCTACCTGAGAGAGGCACTTTGATCACCTTGCCTGAAATATTAACACATCCATACACTTCACCTCCTGACTCCTTGTGGCACTCCCTGCTGTGAAATTGTGGTATGCCTTTACCTGAGTACTTGCTTACGATTTGTGCTGCTTCCTTAGAGTAAGAGCTCCCACAGCGGGACCTTGCTGGTCTGGTTCTTGCTCTCTTACTGGCACCTGAATGAGCGAAACGAACATGGATGTTCCAAACCAGCACTTTGTGTCCCAGGAGGCAGCGCAGGGAAGGAAGCATGACCAGCTACACGCATACGTCATTCACTGGATCAAAGGGAGGTGAAGTTTTAGGTTCACATGGGGAAACTGGCAGTCTCTCCTGGTCTTGGCTCTGAATGGATTCCTCAGGGAGGGTGAAGATGTCTTCAAGGAGGAGTAACATCAGGAAAGAAGGGCGAGGAGGACCCATGAGAGACCCTGAGGTGTGGACGCTCATCTGTGGGCAATTTTATAAAATCAAGATTGTTGTCTGTTTGCGTCTGATTTAATGATCCCTCAATTTTCTACAAATACGATGGGGGGGTGGGCACAGTTCCACTCTACCTCTGGATTCAAGATATCTTTTTGTTAAAATTATGGAAAATTTCAAACATACAAAGGAGTGGAGAGAAGAGTGTAATGCACACCCACGTGCTCATCACTCAGCTTCACAGATTATCAACTCACGGCCAAGCTTTTTATCTATGTTCCCCTCCCCCAGATGTTTTGAAGCAAATCCTAGCCATCACAGCATCCTCCTGGGGTGTCTTTTTAAATGTACGGTGGAAATACAGAGTGAACGACATTGTTACTGAACAGACGTTGTGCAGAGGGGCTGGTCCCACGCCGGCGTCGCCTCTGCCCCGCTCCTGTGCTGAGGTGCAGGGCCTCTGACTCCTTAGCATGCCGTGCACGAGACGCAATGAATGGGCCGTGATGGCTTCTCAGCGTCGTCTCATGATGTGACTTGACTACTTGAAAGCTGGTTAAATAGATTATGTGCTTCACAAGAAGATGACTCTTGCATATAATCTGTGGTGTGGAGTGAGCAGATTTTCAAAGCGAGATACAAAGAGAAGGAAAGGTCAAAGCTTCATAATTTGTGCATTTGTAGCTTTGTTCCCATGTGATTATATTGTTGCCCACATATCTGACAAAAGCTATGGAAATTAAAGCTTAAATCGCATT